GAGGGAGTACCTCAATCTCCATCAGAGAGATGGGTTGTGAGGTGGAAGAAGAAGAAGAAGAAGAAGAAGAAGAAGAAGAAGAGGGAGTAATAGAGGAGGGGTGAGGGGGAGAAGGGGGGGTGGAGGAAGAGTCCATCCCATCCTCCCCAAGAACCATTTTCACTTAAATTTTTTTAAGTTTTTAAAATAAAATTATGAGCAAGAGGAGGAACATAGCTCTTTTAGTCGACTTGGCGATGGGAGAGACCAGGCCATGGTCAACCCCACCTATCGCTTCCTGTGAAGGCAGCCATTAAAATGAATTTTCAACACGTTTTATCAGCTAACACACACAATATCGTACGTACACACAAGTGTGTTGGTACGATAAAGCAATACCATGGCAGCTCACGTTTTGGACTTAGATGCTCTTAAAATGTCTATCTACAGCTAGCCAAAACAACAAACATACTTTTTTTCAACGTGGGTCTGATAACTGAGAGAATGTATAGTGTGGGATGGAGAAGCATTAAATATTTTGTTCAATATAATTTTACCTTGATGTGTTCAATGAAAGATTTGTCACTTGAGAGTGATGCATTAGCCAGAAGTTATCATGAAATCTATAAAAGCAATGAAATTATCAAATTAATTTAATGGCCGTGACAAATACAACATCTTACGAGTTATTTTTAACTTTCTGCATGTTGGCATGGCAGTGAGCAAGATGAACTGATCTTGCAAGTGATGCCATAGTTTTGTGACCCCATGCATAACAAGGAAAATCTACACAATAACTAAGTAATATTACCGAGAGCAATGACAGTTGATCCAGTCTTTGAGTGAAGTACTCTTGAACTTTCTTGATGAAATCTGCATAGGACTCTCCTGAGTTCTCCTCTGAAGAATAATTTAAAACATCAAAGCAAAACTTAAAGCCAAACAGTCAATAAAAAACTGAAGTAAAAAAAAACCTCAAGAACTATAAGACTTGACCAGAACATTTAGACAGTGCCTGCTCTACAAGCTTATGCTGGGTCTGGAAATATTGATTACATTCAAACTCAAACGAGAGTGCTAATGCTAAGGGGAAAAAACATCACTTTAAGCTTTTGATATATCAAATCAATCTCATTGGGGAAAAAAAAAGAAAAAAAAAAAGCCCAAAAATATTCATGAATGAAAGTAAAACTAAATCATGCACACAAGGACACACATGCCTTAGTAAAAAAAAAGGGTAAAATATAGGCCAGGGCAAGATCGACTCTGGGATCGATTCTTTCGAGTCCAAATGAGGACTCAAAGAATCGATCTTGTTCCCAGACTCTAAGCTTCGAGTCCGCCCAGGGTCGACGCCTCCCGTCTCCTTTTTTTAAAGCCTGGTTCCTAGCCTAGACTCCGAGAATCGAGGCAAGAATCTATATCTCTACCGCACTATTACAGTCCTGTCGTGGGATAGGCCTAGGGCTGTCCCACCCCACAGTCGAGTTTTTTGCTTCAAAACAGACACCACACCAGGACGGGACTGATCCGGCGCATAAGGCGGCTTCTTTGATGTTGGCCTAAGCGGAGTTAAAAATGCATTCCAAAAATTTCTTAAATATTGGCCACATTTAAGAAATAAGATTTTCGTGATCAGCGACCCAAAATT